TAATGTGGTGCTTGGAAAATGCGGGTTATTTGGTAGAAAGGCTTTAAAAAATAGGCTTTCCAAGGGGACTTTTCTATAAAGGCTTTTTATAGCAGATATGGCATACAGATGTCATAATGCATGTATATACTCGGGAAGGCTGAGAGGAGGGGGATTACTGCTGTTTCCTCCCTCCCCTTCCTCCTCCTTTTCCTCTTCTTCCATCTCTTCCCCTTCCTTTTCAGCTCTAAAGATGGAACCCAGGACGTCACTACCCCCAAGCTACACACCCACTTTAGAATGGATACTTTTTTCCTCACATCATGCCTCCTGATCCCACCTAACTCCCTACCCCCGCCCAGAATAAAACAAAATAAAATTTAAGAGAAAAAAGGGGGGAAGGGAGAAAGGGAAAATCTCACAAAAGCTGCAGCATGACAGAGTGAGTCATTCATTTTTACATGTAGGCGTTCATTGCAAAGACTCACTGGTCTCTGGTACACCATTGACGTTGTTGGGCCCTCACTGAGACTCTGTTACTACCCTGTGTCATGGACCTCCTACAGCCCAGAATCTACAGGGCCAGCTACCCCACTTTGGAGCTCATCACAGATGGGGTGAATGTTCGGGTGGGCCATCACACCTACATCTTCAGGGTCAGTAAGGTGTAGGGGCCGCTCTCCTAACTGCAGCAGCAGCAGCAGCAGCTGAGGAGCAGGGACAGCTCTCCTGCTCTTTGGGACCTCAGGGCCAGTTCTCCCAACTGCCTCTGGTATTGGTGCGTGGAGTGGAGGGGGCATCTCTTGTCTATGCCGCCACTGATGGATGAGTAATGGGGACAGCTCTTCCATGCTCACGTCAGGGCTAACTCGCCCACACCTCCGCCGACAGGGTTGTCTCTTTCCTGCTGCCCAGGTGAAGGGCAGGGTCTGCTCTCCACAATGGGTACTTTGAAAAGAAGTTAAAAAGTAATTCAATGTCTTCCCCAGTGACCCTTACTATGGTAAATTCTGAGGTGTTTTCTACAGTTGCCTAATACTGAAGAAAATCATTGGTCAGTTGTGAAGGATTTTAAGAGTCTTAGAAATTGGATATTCGTGTATTGGGATTATGGGTCAATTGTTCAAATTGATTTTGGTGTTTGAGTTAATACAGAAATATTCAGTCCAGAAGCGAAAGTGGACACATGTTCTCACCCCTCCATAAATAATGTCAGCCCCTTCTACCTTCTCTAAGGCCTGTCTGTTCATTTCTCTAGGAATTCATTATCTCTGCTGCATTTAGCTGCAGTTCTTTGAAAATTTCAGAACTTGGGTGAAATGTGAGTTGTTTGCCCAATTTGTTTGGTTAAAGGAGGGGCTTCTGTGGTACTAGGGATGAAACCCAGAGCCTGTGCGTGCTAGGCAAGTGTTCTATCACTCAGCTGCACCTCCCAGTCAAGGGAAGTCCTCTTGACCATGTCCATTGGTGTTTTCTTGAGCCTTTGAACTCTTTGTGAGCAGGGCTGGTGAGTAATACCCTGTAATTATATCTCCTTTCTCCTCCCTCTAGCAACTGAACAGTTTTAAGGCATGGTGCTGGCACTCAGTAAGGCATTATTATTTCATTAAACAATATGTCCTCTCCTCCAAGTATCTAGTATGCATTGCTCCATGTAGTCGTGTCCTAAATTGCCCTCCTATGTAAAACCTGATTCATTTCGCCAGTAAACATGAAATACTGCACCTTATAGTTAGAAAGTATCGAGCCCTGCAGTGTGTTTACTGAGTGTGCAGATAGTGTGTGAGGTCTAGGAGCCCCTGTGTTGCCCTCTAGTTTCCTATAGGCTATGATTCCAAAGAAGCCATGTAGATAGATATTCACTAAAGCACCTGGGGCATAGCACTTTCCTGGCACGTGTGAGACCTAGATTTGATCTTCATCACTGAAAAGAACATTAGACATCAACGAAGTTACCTACGTGTGCTCTAAAACCAGACTACCTGGGTCCAAAGCTCAGCTTTCAGCTCTGACCTGAAGACCTTGCGTGAATCCCTGAATATTTCTTGGCCCCCTTCTACTTCACCTCTGAGATCAGCTATTAGTGCTTGCCTCACACAATTGTTTTGAGGGTTAAATGAGTTACTACATGTCGTAAGGCCCTTAAATAAGAACCTGGCATACCTTAAGTATTCCATAAATGAATCCTATGAATCAATAAAACCCAGCAAAAGTCATGTGTGGTTAAATTGGTCATGAAACAAAATATTTTTTTCTTCAATCTAGATTTCAAGACCCTCTTTAGCTAGAGAGATAAATCACTTAATATGTGCTTATCCTAGTCTTATAAGCCTGATGATCTGAGTTTGATAAACCCAAATTAAAAATGCAAGGTATAGCCGGGAGATGGTGGCGCACGCCTTTAATCCCAGCACTTGGGAGGCAGAGACAGGCGGATCTCTGTGAGTTCGAGACCAGCCTGATCTACAAGAGCTAGTTCAAGACAGGGTCCAAAAATACAGAGAAACCCTGTCTCGAAAAACCAAACCAAAATAAATAAATAAATAAATAAATAACTTATTATTTATATATATATAACAAGATGTGGCAATATAGGCTTAGAACCCCAGCTCTGGGGATAGGGAGACATATGCATTCCTGGAGATTGATGGCCTGCCAGCCTAGCCAGTTAGTGAACTGCAGGCCGGTGGGAGCCTGGTATCTTAACAATACAATAACATCAATAAATGAGGTGGGTAGTTCCTGAAGAAGTCAAGGTTGATTTCTGGCTTCCACATGTGTGATTGCATGTGCACACATACTACATTCGTTCTCATTCTCTTTCTCTCTCACACAAACTCTTCCTTCAATGCCTCTTCAACCATTTTCCACTAGTCAAACTCATTGTTCAGACCCGGACAAGCACTCACTCTATTTTACACACACACGCAAAACTGCAAAAGCTAAATAAGTGTGTTCTCTCTGAGTGCTTTAAATCATTCTTTTTGTTCAAAGGTGGGGTGGAAAGGGAGGGTACATATAGTTTTCCTCTTCAGTCTTCATAAACTTTTGAGAAATAACTATATTCCTAAGATAAGTCTAAAACTTGTGACTTTTTTTTTTTTTGGTTTTTCGAGACAGGGTTTCTCTGTGGTTTGGGAGCCTGTCCTGGAACTAGCTCTTATAGACCAGGCTGGTCTCGAACTCACAGAGATCCATCTGCCTCTGCCTCCCGAGTGCTGGGATTAAAGGCGCCACGACCACCCGGCACTTGTGACCTTTTTTGAAATACAATCATAAAGCTCCGCCCCATTCTTATCTCAGCACTAAGTATTCTGGGAGTGATTAACATCTGGATTCAGCAGACCCAACTGAATAAAAGAAAGACAACAGCTCTTAGTCAAGACATATGCACCAAAATGACCATTGGATTGAACATTTTAAGTGGTATGCTGTACCATAGAGGATAAATACATAACTGGAGATTAAAGACCTTGGAGTATATTGCTCTTTTAATTATTCCCCATGTGGCATGAGCTGCTACATGTTTTGGAACTTCTAAAGTAAATCTACTTCAGTATGTAAGTTGTAGAGAGATTGAAGGCAGCAGTTGACTCCGATGGTCACCAGAGAATACAATGTAAGTGGATTGGATTTTATCTTTTCAAAAAGGTCCCAGGGCTGGCTGTGGTGGCACACAGCTTTAATCCTAATACAAAATATGACTTTATGCACTGTATCTTTACCTGAATATTTTGTTTACTTCCCAAAGGTCTGTTCTACCTTGGGATTTTCCTTTGTTTTCTGTAGAGCAGGTTTCATATTCTAATACAGCAAACTAACGTCATGATCCCAGACACATGTTAAATGCTGAGTATCCACATTGACAGTTTAGCTTTCTACACTTACTCCACCAGGACACCGCTAGCTCTGAAGAATAATGTTCAACATACCAAGTACTCTTCTGGAATTCTCCTTTCCTTCCCCTCCACCTGCCTCTCTCTCCTCTCCGCCTTCTTTCATTCCTCCTCTCTCATTAGCAGGACCTCACCCTTTTTTCCGGGCTGACTTACTTGCTGTCCTTCTGCCTCCGTGTCCTACGTCTGTGATTTGAGGCGTGCTCTAACACATCTAGCTGTATTGTGGGGTTTTTTATAAGTCATTTACATAACCTGTGTATCTCCTAAGATCCGGCCATTTAGCGGCCTCTCTAATGTGGACTGGAACTAAAAACAAAGAAGAAAATCAGCATGGCCTAAGAATAGAATTGCCTATCTTCTGTTTAGGATGACAGGAAGCGGTGACACATCTGGGAAATCCTAGGGACACGGTGTCTGATAAGGTGCAGTACTGGAATCAAATGCAGCAAGGTGGCTGTCAGCAGGTTGTTTAATCTCTGCCTATAGTTTGCTTATCTCTCCAATGTGAGAGCAGCACCGCTGGTGTTGGGCTAGGCTCCTTCCAGTGCTGACTTCTTTGGTCCTGTGACTTGGGCTCCCTTCCTCTTTGAGGCTGCTTGTTCATCTGTAAAACGAGAGGTGAATGAGTATCAAAGTCCCAACAATGTGACTCCAAAGGAATGAAATTTTAGCTATCCAGAAAATCTAGTTATCCAGAGAGGCCATTCCTTAAGGATATTGGTTAGCCAGAACTTACTGTACATTAATACACAGTTAAAGAGACTAATTTAATGCTTAGGAAAACATTTGGGAATGGTTAAAACTGTGGAAAAGTCCTAACTCTTTGTAGAGAATGTTGACTTTAGTGTATACAATTACCATCTTGTTGTTGCACGCTTTTCCCCTTTTACGCTGGCATTCTGTTGGGAATAAGCCAGAGAAGGGTGTGTGTGTATGTGTGTGTGTGTGTGTGTGTGTGTGTGTCCACATGCACCAGATAGACAGCACCATCCTGTTCCTGTTCCTAAGGGCTCTGTTGATAAGTGATATCCAAAGCAACACACCAGAGCAGGTGACATCCATTGCCAGCCACCCTGCATCCCAGTATTTGCTCCCTGCTGTAGTATCTGCTTCTAAAAGCCTATGCTTGAGGAACTAGTTGCTGATGAGAGTGAAGAATGCACCAATCCTCTGATAAAGGCTCCAAAAGAGAAGAGGGCAGAGAGAGTAAGCCAGGAACTTGGAGTTAGCCGCCAGCATATGACACCTAGCTGGGATCCTTTCTTACCATTGATGGAAATGAAGAATGGGATGGAATTGGCTCTTTCATGGTCCTAAACAGTTTCATCCGACCCAACAAGAAAGATGACAGTAAATGCTGTTTATCTTAGAGGGTGGCTAGCCTAGTCTGATTTGAGTAGTGATTTTATCTTTGCTGTTTGACTCCTATAGGGTCTCCCGGTTTCTGCTCAATGTCCAGCCCTTCTAAATTCTGACCACATCCACACACTCCTATGCCACATTACTGTCCTAGATTCCTCCACCTTCTCCTAAGAAAATACAGGCGCACCATTCCATTGACGTCCCTGAGATGATCTTCATTTACTTCTCCACTGAAATCTAATAACTTTCTCATAACTTAGCAGAAGCCTCATCACTTTGATTATATGTCACAAGAGCACTCCATACTTGAAACCCTGCAGTGTTTAAAGTTACTCATCTTGCCCTATAGAATGCATGATCTTCACCTTCTGAATGGCTTTTCGATGTTGAACAAAGTATATATGAAGTATCCTTGGGAAAGATACTTGGAGGTTAACGTGCAAAGGGCAGTCTTGGACTCAGTATTTGAATACAAGTTGTACCTATGTCTCAGTCTGGTACTGAAAAGCAGGGATTGCAGCAAGGTCTTGAGGTCTACCATCAGCAGCGCTAAACGAAGAAAGACTAGAACTTACATTGACCTCACTCACCCCACCCCTAACTCAGCTTTCTGGCACCTGTCTTCCACTTGTCCAATTCTTATTCTAATCCACTTCCATGGGAGTCCAGCCTCCTAATTGAGAACACTCTTAATTCATCCCGAAGTTCCCGGATGATCCTCCAATGTCAGTTGTGTCTCCTTTAACCCAACTGTGGCTTTCTTTCTTTCTTTTTTTTTTGTGTGTCTTGTCACACATTAGGTGAACCCCACAGCCCAGTGCACGGAAGCGCTGCTGAAGATGATCTACTGTTCCCACTGCCAGGGCCTGGTGTCTGTGAAGCCCTGTTACAACTACTGCTCTAACATCATGAGAGGCTGTTTGGCCAACCAAGGAGACCTCAATTTTGAGTGGAACAATTTCATAGGTGAGCGAGCCATTGATGTATTTGTTTTACTAGCCATGACTCTACTTCTTGCCACAAGGACTGTTGTAATTGCCAGCTCTGAGATTTTTCCTTTCGTTTTAATGGGAAATGTTTGGCAGAGTTCTGGCTGTGCTGCGCTCAGTACTTGGAGGTAGTAAAATCAGCACTGCCAGTCAGTGTCCTCTTGAACTACTGGTGGCATTGCAGAAGACAGTTAGATGCACCGCTTTGAATGCAGCAGGAGGTATCTTTTTGATATTTCCTGTGAAATTCTCAGGTTTAGCACTCATCCTAGGTCTGTTCATGTTCAATCTGATGTACAGTCTTCACAGAGCTATGAAAGGAGCTTTGAAGATTCTCTCTTGGGCTGGGCAGGTGGTCCGTTGGTAAAGTGCTTGTTTTGCTAGAACAAGGGCCTATGTTTGATCTCCACAATCAGAAAAAAAGCTAGGTGTGGTGGAGCACTGGTAATCCTAGGGCTTGGGAGGTAGAGACAATCAGCCTAGCACAAGTTCTGTGCTCCAGGCCAGTGAGAGACCCTTTATCAAAAAATAAAAATTAAGGTGACAGTACCATTCTTAGGGATCCTGATGTTAGCCTCTGGCACAACCCCTGCCCCTACACACAACCTCCCCCCAACACTATAGTCTTTTACATATTTTACATGTCACCCAAATCTTTGGCAAACTGACCAGATGCCCATTTCACCATCAGATCTGAAGAACTCTGATGTGGAAAATTACAAGATTTGTTTTTGTAGGGACTTAGCCCTGGTAGAGTCCTCTTATGAGAGTGGATGTTGAGTCTGTTGATTTCTGCCAATTAGGAAGCCATTACTAGAACCCAGACAGCACTGCAAACCGTCTAGGTTCTGAGAAGGCCAGTTATGATTTCGGGGAAAAACATTAGCCTGATTTAAAGAGCCTGCAGCCTTCTACATTAGTGCCCATTGTGCACGCCATTCCTGAAACCTCCCTGGCCGCTATTGAGGTCACAAAGGCCAGCATTGGTGGAACAGTACATACATGCTTCAAGAGTACCAGTTCATTCTCATCCCCCCAGTCACATTTGCAGAATTGCACACTGAAATGTCTTTAGAGGAAGCAAGCTTTTGCTAAGTCTTCCATATCATGGGAGCGTGCATGTAATTTGCTGGCTCAGTTTTGCTTTAGTTTGTTGAAGGTTTAAATTTTTTTGGAGTAGAGGAAATTGGAGTAAGAAGATACATTTTAGACTGAGCGAGAGTGAATTGCCATATTAAGTCTGGTTGAAAGTGCATCAATAAATTGGGTCCCACCAATTCTTAAACACAGAGACTGGGAGAAAAAGATGTAAACATTACACTCTGAAGCATACTTGTGGCCTAGATAGCTCAAAGCTGTGGGAACCCTGGGAAACAAATCTTTTACATACAGAAAAATAGAATCTCATGAAAGGGGAAACATAAACACAAGTGGTGTGGCGTGCCCAGAATGAAACCAGGGGAGAAATGAAAAATAGCCTATGGAAATAAAGACTATGGTATCGCCCTATCTCACTAAGGTCATCCTCTTCCTCCCCTACCCCAATTATACCCTCCCCATATCCAGTTGAGGAGTTTGTGATTCATTTGCTTTTTCTTCTTAAATTGCGGTTTTGGGTTGGTTGATGTTTTTTCTTCTTTCTTACCATGTAGCCCACACTGGCCTCCAACTCACCCTCCTAGCCCCTGCCTCCGAATGGGTGAAATTGCAGGTGTACTGTCTCACAGGTAGCTAAACTTAGTTCTTAAAGAAAGACAGTGGGGCTTCCTAGCTTTTGAACATAATAGGCTTTTCTCTGAGGCAAGCATACCATACGAAAAGCTTTGGGTGACAGTGAGTTTTACTTCCTTTTCTACCCAGGCACCCTGAGGGCAGTGCAGGGACAATTCCACCTTACGTTCTGTTATTGCAGCCTGTCCAGCAGCAGCCACTGCCAAGGTCCAATCACAGCCTTGTACCAAAGGCCAAATTCCTGCCCATCTTGTCTGCGACCCTCCAGATCCTCAGTATATCAAAACCATACTCGGGCTGACCTGATTAATCTTCAGCCTTCAACTGTTGCTGCGCTTCTTATAGTGTATTTTTAAAATTACATGTGCTATCTGTGAAGAAACGGAATTAAACCCAAGTGAAAATGGATCGGATTTTGGAATTGATTTTTCTGCAGCTATTTTAAATGATGCTCTTGGAGTGACGTAATATGCAGTTGTATGTCAGCATCATTTTTAATGGAGACACTACCCTTTATTTCTAATGAAGCTGATAGAAAAGGCCAGACGTAATAGACATGTTAATCTCCTGTTCTTTTTCATGGATTTTTCACAAGGGTTTAATTAATCTCCTCCACGGTTGTAGAATTCAGTCCCAATTACATGCCTGTGCTGTAAATATTCATATTCTCTCTCTCTCTGGAATTTTTCTTTGCTTTGTAAATGACTGTGCAGTTACTGAGTAGTCAAAGATTTGTTTCATCCCTTTGAAAGTCACATCTTGGGGTTAAGTTGGGAAACTGCCTTCAGCTCTTGAGTCAGGTTGGGAGGCTAAAGATGTGGGTTTCTGATTATTTATTGGAGACACAATGAAAAAGTAATCACTTTCCCTAGTGAGAACGGAATACTTTTTCAACACTGTTTTTTATGAGCATACATTAATTATATATAATAATGGGTTTCATATGATATTTTCATACATGCATATAATATATTTGATCAGACTCATCGCCATTACCCTTACTTGTCTCCTCCCACTCCTGCTGATTCCCAAGAAAGGGATGCTTTTCTGGGTGAATTGGGAGGGGCCCCTTAAAACCAGTGTGTTGAGGTGGTCCTGTGGTTGGACCAGACTCGAGACTCTGTTCTCAAAACGAGCAGGCATTTTCCAAATCAGCCTTGTTGCTGGCTTCTCCGTGTTTCCGCAACGGCATCTGCCTATCACCACAAGTTCTAAGTGCTCAAGTCTTGTCAGCCTTCCTCAGGACTGGTCTAACTTTGGGTCCAAATATGGGAAACCCCTTTGGAAACTCAACCTTTAAAAAATGTCTGCCTTTCCACTACCACCAAAAGAAGCTGATTTTCAGAGAATCATAACTTCTTCACGTGCTGTGTCTCTCTTAGCATTCAGTTGACTCAGAGCCAACCCTGTTAATGTCACATGTTGCTGCCAATGGGAATTTAGTATTGGAATTGCTGACGGGGACACCAGCCAGTTCCTGGCGGAGGCAGGAACAAGTATGATATCTCAAGCATATGAGAATTGTGGCCTCCGTCAACCACAAGGAAAATAAAATACCAAACCAGCCGTCTTTGGTATTTCTCTGGGGGACTAGTGGCGGCTGTCGAAGGGGCGGTGGCTAGCCAATCCTGACTTCCTGCAGGGTTCCAGACAGCTTTGGCTTTGGTCTGTGAGCCACAGGCAGAATAGATCCTCAGTCACATTCTTCAGCTATGCAACACGCAACGCCATGGCACCGGCCCCAACAAAGGCCTGGGTTCCCTCTCCATTCCCAGGCCCTTGTGTATGGCCAGTGGCCCTGAGTTTACAAAGACGCCAAACAGCCAGAAGAATTGGGGTTTATGTTTCCTTTCAGGCTTTCACAAACACATTAGGGATCGATTTGGCCTGCCTTTCCTCACCACTAGGGGAATAAATAGGTAGAAAATCCATCCCGCCCCCCTTCGAAACCTCTGCAGTTGGAAAGTTTGTTATTTATTCATAATATTTTGATTTGGTGCTCACGATTTCTTGGCTTGTGAAAGAATGTGCCTTCTGTATATGGTGGTCCCTCTGCTTTGACAGTGACAAACACATTTACACTGTGCTCCGCTTGTTTGCAAAAGTCGCCTTTCTCTAGCACATCAAAAGCATTTTCCCCCCTTTCTCCTCTAGTACAATGGCATATTCATGCTTTCAGCCTTTACTTAAAGGTTAGAGACATCATTTTATTGGTGCTTACTTACTGCGATTACTCTAAAGCATCACACTGCACAGGAATCTGTTCATGGTTGGCAGCTTCACACTTTCTAAAGTGGTGTGTAGTACTTGTTCTAGATTGAAAGTGAAAAGTTGATAACCAACTTTGATTTCCTTTTTAGGATGATGCTTAAAGCCTTTTCCCACTAGAAAGCTTAGGTAGCAGCTCAGCTGGGGTAGCAGCTGAAAGAGACACCCGGCCTTCTGAAAAGGGACACTCTTTTTTCGTTCTTGACATTGAAGTACCTATAGGAGTAGACAGTGGGGATCTAACTTATGGAGTGTAAAGGAGAAAACACCATTTAAAGGTTAACTATTGAAACCCAGCTGCTATGAGCTGGCATCATGCCTCCAGTTGGTTCCCATCACCCAGGGCAGGTGCCTCACGATCACTTGTAACACCAACTCCAGGCTATCAACCAACTGTGGCTTCACAGGCACCCACTCCCACTAGCACATGCCCACAGACAGACAGACACAAATGCACATACGCATACACACAGCAATAAAAAAATAGTTTTTCAAAAGTTTACTATGTGTCAATAATTAACCCATCCCCTTTTCCCCCGTTTGGGGGGGGGGGTTCATTTCCAAAAGTTCTTCTAATTTTGTTTTTTTTTTTAGAAATATTAACTTTGTTTATTTATTATGTATACAATGTTCTGTCTGTGTGTATCCCTGCAAGCCAGGAGAGGGCACCAGACCTCATTACAGATGGTTGTGAGCCACCATGTGGTTGCTGGGAATTGAACTCAGGACCTTTGGAAGAGCAGGCAATGCTCTTAACCGCTGAGCCATCTCTCCAGCCCAGTTCTTCTAATTTTGTACAAGTTATCAGGCAAAGATACCAAATCATAATCCCCAAAAGCATATATGGGAAACAAATAACAGCTTGCTTTCTTTAAGGAATCCAGCACTTGCTAGGAAATGACAGGGTCCTCAAAAGTCTACAAGTGACTTCCAGATATCGGTGAAATGGACAATGTTTGGCATTGTGTTTTGTCTCGTGATTTCACTGGTATCCCCCCAAACATGCATATCACTACTAAATCAGCTGAGGCCCTCGCGTTTGAAAATGGGGTTATCCTAACCCCAAAGTGGCACGCCTCAAAGTTTCATCGTTTGAAGACATTCGGATTCCCAGAACGCTTTCATTTCTATTATGCAGCTGTGCAAGCGAGGATCTGCAATGTCTCTTTAAAGGAAGTGAAAGAAAAGAATCGGTATGCCAGGATTGTAACTGATTTACGATTTCAACTCTCGTCAATGGAACCTGAAAGGAAAAGATGCCAGGGAAGTGTCTGGGAGAACAGGCATGTTCCTCTGTCCCTAGCCAGACTGTCAGCTGGGTGCTGGCTGACATACGGAAGAGTGAGTTAGCCAAAAGATGGGCGATTCCCGACTGAATTTCCATGCCCCGGAACAAAGCATTCATCTGGCTCCTTCATACTTTAGCGAGCTGCTGAGACGTAATGTGTAGATACAATTTGAAATTATAGAAATAGCTAGAAAATAAGAAAAAACTGGGGAAAAAACTGTGTATTATCTCCTTCCCCCTCTCCCTTCCCCTCTTCCCTCTGAAAAAAAAGCAAAGGCAATAAAACGATCGGGCTGATGGTCAAATCTGAACTAATGATTTTTCTGTCTATGCTGTATTGTCTTTCTCCAACGCTTACTAGACGCTATGCTGATGGTGGCAGAGAGGCTGGAGGGCCCCTTCAACATTGAGTCGGTTATGGATCCTATCGATGTGAAGATTTCGGATGCTATCATGAACATGCAGGATAACAGCGTCCAAGTGTCTCAGAAAGTATTGCAGGCGAGACGCTGGGCAGGACAGCGAGACACGCCCTCTGCCTTGTCCTCTAACATCCCTAATACGAACTCACTTTCCCTGTAGGTTTTCCAAGGCTGTGGGTCTCCGAAGTCTCTCCCGGCTGGCCGAATTTCTCGGTCCATCTCTGAAAGTGCCTTCAGCGCTCGATTCAGGCCTTATCATCCAGAACAACGTCCAACCACAGCCGCTGGCACTAGTTTGGACCGACTGGTGAGTACTTTAGCTGGAATGGGTGTGTTCAATGGTAACAAACTCCAAACATTTGCTCAAAAAATGAACTTTTAGTTGGAAGGCATATATGTGTGAGTCTTTTAGGTGTTTAACTTTTTAATCTTCTTGTATGTGGACGGCAGTAAATGTGCCTCGTTTTCTGTCTCGGAAAGGTCCTATATAGTTGAGGAAGTGTGTTGTGACAAGTTGCATCTCCAGACTTCTCTCCAGTGCCATTGTGAATTTACTGAGCATCTGTTATACCCGCCGCTAGGTTATACACAAGGGGAAGCTCAGGGCAGTAAGAAAGGGCCTCGGATTCCAGAGACCTCAACAAAGGGAGCGAAGTGCCAGTCTAAGCTCTTCAGTAAGAGCCAAAGTAATCTCACAAGTAAACAACCTAAAATCCTGAGTTGATTTCATGTGATAACATTTAACTTGTTAACTCTGTGCGTGGATTTATTTTTTTGACCAATAAGCTAAATAATGCCAATTGCAAACATCTTCACATTATCAGCACCATACCCAAAATACGATCCACCTTGTATTTAAGGAAGCAAAGAAGTATCTGCCAAAGTCCTTGTTCAGGTAGAAAGGACGTCTTTGCCATTGGCTATTCTTTCCTAATCACCTTTTCAAAGGAAATTTCTTCATGCAGTAAAACAACTTTGGTTCAGTTTGTCTTCGTTGGGTTTTAATTTATTTTTTTTTTTAAAAAAAAACCTTCCATGGTGCCTTTTAGTATATAGGATTTTAAAGAGAAGTGGGTTGAGGGCAGAGTGACATGGTCTAGGTTTATGTAAGGTCGAAGTTGATGATGGTAGGATAGGAGAAAAATTTAGGCTATAAACAGGTGATACACGGCAATGCCCTATGGCAGTCTGGGAGTACTAGTGCTGTAGTCGGAGGGAACCTAGAGCAGGAAGCCCGACAGGACACTGATGTGAAAAGAAGAATAAAGCCAGTGAAGTTTTCCTGTTTGCTGGATGCTTGATTCAGACCAGGAAAGCCTGGGGTGGAAAGACTGTGTTACAGGCTGGGATGCCAGTTACAGGAGGAAGTAAAGTAGACAGTAGATCCAGGATCCAGGCATCTCCTTTAGAGTTTACACTTGAACTATTAATTCCTCTGAGTGACTGTTTATTTCTTGGTATTTTCCTTCGGTCTGAACTTGAAACACTGAGTTGCATATAATCTAGAAATGATCAAAAGGCACATCCATAAATAGGTTGGGGTTGGCTTAGATTTTAAGATGGATTTAGGTCAACATTATTTTCTTGCGTTTTTTTATTGCTGTTTTATTTCATGTGTATGGACGTTTTGCTTGCATCTGTGTGTGTGTGTGTGTGTGTGTGTACCACTTGGATTCCTGGTTAAGTGTACAGTTCATAAAAGGGCATCAGATCGTCTGAAACTGAAGTTATAGATAGCTGTGAGCTAGCAAGTGTGTACTAAGAATAAACCCTTGTCCTCTCCAAGAAGAGCAAATGCTCGTAACTACTGAGCCATCTCTCCAGCCCCACTGTTTGTTGAGAAAGTGTGTATATATATATATATATATATATATATATATATATATATGATGTGTGTGTGTGTTGTGTGTGTGTGTGTGTGTGTGTGTGTGAGAGAGAGAGAGAGAGAGAGAGAGAGAGAGAGAGTGCCAATGAGTTTACTTCAGGGTCGTGTACAGAGGCAAGGATGAGTGTTATTTGCAGCCTACCAAGTGCTGGGATCATACATTGTAGTTTTGCATTTCTACATAGGTGAGCCGTTTTTTATTTTCTTCCTTAGGTTACTGATGTCAAGGAAAAACTGAAACAGGCTAAGAAGTTCTGGTCCTCTCTCCCAACCACTGTTTGCAATGACGAGAGGATGGCGGCAGGGAATGGCAATGAGGATGACTGCTGGAATGGCAAGGGCAAAAGCAGGTCAGCCTCCCCCGAGGGAAAGAGCAGCTTCTTCACTGTGATCTAAGTGAAGCAGTTCACTGTGGCTAGTGATGCTACAGAAAGTTTCTAGGTGCCCTTAGGCATGGGCTTTGGCATTTGGGTGTTCTAAAAGGCACCCAGATACTTACAAAGGACTGGACTTGGCAGTAGTTCTACCCTGGTGCTAAGGACTGTTAAAAACATTCAGCGCCCGTGGCCCTTGGCTCAGGGTCCTGGCCTTCTCAAAGCACCACTTCTCAAAAGGTCACATTCTCTTTGATGAGTCCATGTATCCCACCCTGGCATACTCTGTGACTAAGATAAGCACCCATTCAGAGGGTGTTTTTCTTTGCCAGAACAATCGCGCCAAAAGAGGTACAGAAACTACACAGTCCCTAGAGGGAGAAGGAACAATTCGAGTTGATTGCAAATGGAAGAACATCTACTCCACTATGCTGGGTGGAGATGCTAACATTCAGCAAATCTTTGCTCGCCTACATTTACTTACTGCTCATTTCAATGGAATTATGTTGTACTTTCAGGTACCTGTTTGCAGTGACCGGAAATGGATTGGCCAACCAGGGCAACAACCCTGAAGTCCAGGTCGACACCACCAAACAAGACATGCTGATCCTTCGTCAAATCATGGCCCTTCGGGTTATGACCAATAAGATGAAGAATGCTTACAACGGCAATGACGTGGACTTCTTTGATATCAGTAAGTGTTGGTGATTTTGACGTGTGGGGTTTGTTCTTTTCTGACCTGATGAGATGACATGTCCTGAAATCTCTGTTCTCTTTTCAATGTAGGTGATGAAAGTAGTGGAGAAGGAAGCGGAAGTGGCTGCGAATATCAGCAGTGTCCTTCCGAGTTTGAGTACAATGCCACTGACCATTCTGGGAAGAGTGCCAATGAGAAGGCCGACAGTGCCGGCGCCCATGCTGAGGCAAAGCCCTACCTCCTCACTATCCTCTGCCTCTTGTTCTTCGCTGTGCAGAGAGAGTGGAGATAATTGTCAAACCCTGAGTAAAAGTGTTCATCATCAGAGAGTTCAAAGGCACCAGTTCTCACTTTTTTTTTTTTTACCATCCTAGTGACTTTGCTTTTTAAATGAATGGACAGACAGCAACTGTACAGTTTTTACGATGTGGCCACTGGTTTGAGCAGTGTTGACTTTGTTTTCTCATTCAGTTTCTGCTCCTTCAGAAATCGTGTTCAATGTGGCTAACAGTGTAGGTACAGAACCTGTAGTTAGTTGTGCATTTGTGATTTAGCACTCTTCTTTTGTTTTGTTTTTTTTTTCGCTCATTTTATTTGTGGGGCTTTTCTTTTTGAATTATGATCTCACCTTGTTTCTCCCAAGAAAACCAGGCTCCTTTCTTGGCATGTAACATGTACGTATTTCTGAAATATTAAATAGCTGTACAGAAGCAGGTTTATTTATCATGTTATCTTATTAAAGGAAAAAGCCCAACAAGCCATAAAATTTCCATTTATCCCTCTTATTTGAACTGCCTTGTCTGGAGAAGTGGAGGCAACTTGGAGGCTTCTTTTTTCTGTTTGTATTCAATTAGGACAGAATGTGGAGCCACAAACAGGCTTCCGAGCCACTGGTCAAACTGCATTCAAACACCAGTCTAAGAAGACCGTTAGACCCCACTCAGAACTGGGTGCTAGAAGAGACCCATTTGGATTGAGTGGAATCTTGAATTCTTGAATCCACCCATACCCAAAGTGTACCCGATCCTGGAAAATAAAGATTATTGATGTAGGTGCCCTTGAAAGATGAAAGGCACTCAGGGTGCCCCACTTATCCCATGTACACTCTTGGACTTGGGGGGTATATATTAAAAACCAGGCAGCTTAGGGAGCCACCGTGTACCAGTTTCTGTATCCATGCTGACACTCTAGTCCTTTATCCCAATGGCAGTAGCAGGTGACCAACAATCTCATTTGTCCCCACCCCGTGTTGGAGGGATCCAGATTCCTGACCCACTGACCACTCTGGGAAGAGTGCCATAAAAGGGAGCTGTCTGGCAGCTAGCCAGAACTGGGGTACAGCCTGGGCTCAGGGAATAGCTGTCAACACTCAAGCAGAGTTTTTGTCTGTGTGTATATGTTTGCATTTTGTAAACTCCAGTTTTGAAAAGAGTGTAAGGTGATCTAATTGGATTATTTTTTCTTTCTCGCCACTCACTTTTGATCAGTTCAATGAAGGACCCAGACTGATTTGCAGCCATCTGCTATCGATCCTGCCCAAGGAGCCCACTGAGAGGAGAGCTGGGTGTCCAGATTTTTATATGCTATCTTTTTGTGGGAGGAATGGGAGTATATAGAGCTAAGAAGACCTCATCTCCTAGGTGGCCCTTAGCCACATAGGTGCACTAGCAAAAGCCCTAACTTGTCCCAGGCCAAAGACTTGTCCACTGCCTTGCCCCCTTGGAAGCCCTTTTCTTGTATCCAAATGACCAGTCAGAAAACCTGGAGAAAGTAGCAGATCATTTCAAAATGACTTCTCAAAAGTCTTCAGAAACACTACCACTGTGCGAGGTTCTTCTGCTCTCTAAATCATGAAGATGCCAGAAGCCCATAGACAGGTTGTTTTGTGTTATTGTTCAGTCTTCAGTTATAAGAGGAAAGCTCTATTTTTATATTGAAACATAATTACTTGATAGCTCAGGGTCTACATTTCATTCAACTTTTTACACCAAATTCTTCAGAATGGTCAAAATGAAATATTGGGGGCTGTTGTAAACAGAGGCTTAATTTTAGTATAAGTAGCCAGTTATTTATTAAAGCATGATGTTAATAAAATAGGCATATTCTGGCTGGTGTGGATAAGTGTTTTTTTTTTTAAAGCAAATCACAGGAAATATAGCTAGCTCCACTTATATGAGGAAAAGTAGACTGTAAATCGCTGGGCTGCCTTCTGAGAACTTGGAAACTGTGCTGATAGTAAGCACCTCAGTTGTGAGGAATTTCCTCTTTAGCTTAGACTGCTATTACTTTTACTTGGTAGAAGTGAATCTGGTCTCCGAAATATGGCTCAAAGATTTATCCCTGTAGACCTTGTTACATTGTTTTTAATTTAAAACCTTGAACTCTGCCCAGCTGTTTTCTTTCAGTCAAGTCCTCCAAACCAATAACATTTTCCAAATTAAATATTCGTGAAAGTTTCTCTGGACGCTTACTGATTTGTTCCTTTCTTTACATTTTTCCTCTGTTAACCTTTTATTATTTAAATTGTCTCTTGCTTTTGAACTTGAACTATGAAATAAACAAATCATAGATTTTTCCATTCAGGTCTGACTGGACAACTTTTGGCTTCTCACCAGCTGGCAGGCTTACCCTCACCACCATCACCCCCGCAAAAAATGAGAAGAAAGGCAAGTTGAGTATTTGAAAACCTTTCAAGTTTGGAGTATGAGGCAGAATAAAAGCCTTTAGGAGAGGACCTGACTTCTCCAAAGTTAGCAGCATGTGAAAGGGTTGAGGGTTACCAAGTTATTTATAGAGTTATTTTCTTTCAAGCACTTCACTGACTGCATTTAAGAAAAAAAAAACATGGTAGAGAATGTCAGAAAGGGATTGCAAGGCAAAAAAGGACAAAAGTTTTATAACTTTGATTGTATGCTATCTTGTAAAAGAGTGAGTGCCTAGTATTTGGATAAAAGTAAAAACTGCAAAGAATTGATCTGCACCTTTAAACTTGAATTAGATATTTAGAAATCTAAAAGTTTACATGAAATATAAACTGTCAGTTGTGATAATAGAACCAATAATAAAATAAGTTTAGATGGTGCCGCACACAATTCCACTTCTGATTTGGTGTTAAGTATTTATTTACATAGTGAAATGGTTTAATAAGTTAATAACAATATCTACTAGAGGAATGACAGAGAGAGAGAGAGATCATTGTTTGGCAAATACAAAAATACATCTTACTCTTGGAAACGAGAAAAATACTCAAAAAAATATGACTCAAAACTTAGCAGAAAAAATGTAACTGCATTGTGTTGATAACCTCATAAATTGAGTTTCTCTATTTTTAACTTAGTTTTTCTAAAACCCCCTTTGTGCTTAGGAAACTAGTTGAAGGAGTCTGAGGACATGTCTCAGCTGATGAGATGTTTGCCTCGCATATGTGAGGCAGCAGTGGGGTCCATCTCTAGCAGGCCGGAAACCGAATACGGTTGAGCATTTGCTGGGAGCACAACATCAGAATGTCACCTGTTATTCTCCTACTTATTTTAAATATATTGATAGTGGAGGATTCTCATGAGAACGAGTCTATAAGTTTAGGACTCTACACTAGGGACATGACTTCTCACTGATGCCCATACTGGGATTTTTTTTTTAAGAATTATTTATTTCTTATGTCTACAACATTCTGCCTCCATGTATGCCCGCACGCCAGAGGAGGGCGCCAGATCTTAGTACAGATGGTTGTGAGCCACCATGTGATTGCTGGGAATTGAACTCAGGACCTCTGGAAGAGCAGCCAGTGCTCTTAACCTCTGAGCCATCTCTCCAGCCCCATACTGGGATTTTTAATGTGCATGGCTCAGAATCATCTCAGTTGGTTTTCAAGAAGCCAAGGTTGACTAGGAAAATGAGCCACATGGGATTCTGGGGCTAGGACTCAAGTGTGTTCCACTTGTGTTAAGATTCAGTCTTGCTATTACCCTTTGAGACAACACTGAGCAAAGCTATTGGGAATGCTTGGTGATGAGCCAAAGGAGCTGTTTTGGTCTGGAATGGACTTGTGATTTCCTAATATAAAGTACTCTTTTTATTTTTACTGCTTTCTCAAGCTTCTCATGCCTTTAGCATTGACAGCCAACACACAAGACAGGATTGAAAGTACTAGGGGAAATATATAAATAAATTCTGGTTGTGGCATGAAGCTAACCTATTCATGGCTAAAGAATTGTTATACACCAACTCAGCTTTTGTGTAAAATTAAATGTTTATGGAGCAGTGTTTGAAGAGATTTCAGAGTTCACCATTTATCAGTAAAACCTACAGAAATCGTTTTTTTTTCAGCAGGAATGTCCATGTGCAGAATTAAAATACACAGTGCAATGCACTTTTGACATTTCCTCTTCTTAAAATTGGACCTTGCTGTTTTGTTCAGGATGACCCTCAGCACCTGGGGTCACGTGATCCTCCTGCCTCAGCCTCACAAGTAGATGAGAGTCCAGCTGCATACATAGCACTATTTCTGATTACTAGTGTCTCTCCTGCACCCTCTCTCTCAGTCCTGTCTTCTAGTGATGGGAAGGGAGTCAAGAACTTTGTGTATGTTAAGCTAGTGTTCTGCAACTGAACTACATACCTAGCCCTGGTTTTTGGGGTGTGTGTGTGTGTGTGTATTCATGTGTATATATACATATATATGCATATATATATATACACATACGTGTGTGTGTGTGTGTGTGTGTGTGTGTGTGTGTGTTTTGAGACAGGGTTTCTCTGTAGCTTTGGTGCCTGTCCTGGAACTAGCTCTTGTAGACCAGGTTGGCCTCGAACTCACAGAGATTCGTCTGCCTCTGCCTGCCTAGTGCTGCTGTTAAAGGCATGCGCCACGACTGCCCGGCTGGTATTTCTTAATTAAAGAAAGAATTTTAAAGAAAAAATCCACAAGAGCAATAGAACAAATAAGATCTCCATATATCAGTCCTTGCAGATAACAGCTGAGAATAGATGACCCCAAAGGGGGTATATACATTGTGACCCACGAAGGATTACATTATTTTGTCCTCAGATCTCTGAAAAACCCACTTGTGGGAACTTTGCCCTTTGCTGTTATCCTTAATCCTTGTTTCTTGTGTGCTGTTGCTAGCGGAGCACTTTTGCGTGTTCACATTTGTGAGCACACAGCTCCATACACATACTCCGCGACTGATTGTCAATCTATTTGCTAGCACTTAATTCCAGGTTGACCTTACCCTGTCACTGCAGACTGCCATCCTCTGGCTGTCAGTGGCATCTGCTTGGGAAATGCAGACTGATTTTAATAATAGCCTAAAGGGAGCATGATTAGAAAGGTAAGTCTCCTACCAAGAAAGAATTACATATAAATGCATTCCCATGCCCAAATAGAGTTTATTAGATTTACCACTGCTTGGGATTTTTTTTTAACCACAAATACCCAAAAGTGGACTATTAGCTGC